AAATCATAAAACAAAATCGGACTACTAATGATGCTTCACAAATACCTATTCTATCACATATTAATGGTCACTCTGATAGCACCGACTCTTCCCCTGAAATAAATTCTAACAATACTCCTAAACACGTAGAAAATACATCTGATGACGCATCTAATCCAGATATATGCCAGGAGTCGAAGAATCAATGCTTCACATCACCTATCTATATGAAGCCTAAATCGTTAGAAGATAATATGGTTGATGATTTTCTGGATTTGCAAAACAAGGAAATAATTAGTAATATGATGAGAAAGAGAAATAGAGAAAAGAAATTTAAATATCAAGAATTGATACAAAAAACATCTGCTGAATCGGAGCAAATGTCCATTGATCAAACACAATGCTATTTCTCCTGAAATAAAGATTCCTTATGATCAGAAAATAGAACGAGGCCTAATGCATGAATTATCTGTCTGTGCTAAGAAAAATCTTACCATACAAGAAATAAACGTGCAAATTCCTGATCTTCCTCTAGAAAAAATATTAATAGGTTCTGATGAAGTTACGGCTCAGATTATAGTAGACTTGTTTAACACAGCGATGAAAACTAGACAAAAGGAGAATTTATGTTGGTATTGTTATACTAAAGCGTATAAAAATCGAGTTAATGATATTAAATCCAAGAATAAAATTGACGATCAATCAGTGAGAACTTTGGTATACAATGAAATCAAATTGCTCCTTCCCGATATTAGTGATATAAATTTGCGTAAGAGAAGTTTTAAAGCTAAAAAAGTATATACGTTATTTGAAGGAATAGGAATAGATAAGATTAGGCAAATAACTTACAGTGCAAATGCTATCTCAAGTTTAAAAAATGATCAGATTCAAAATATTATAAATTGTTTCCTAAAAAAACCAGCAAATCTAGACAATATAGTTAATTGCCAAAAAAAGATCAGCATTCCGAAACAGAACGCGCACATGACTGAACCATCTAGCTCAAAAGACATATCAAATATTAAGGCAAGTATATCTACTGAATCATCCCATACCTCTAATTCGGAAAATATGATAAGTGAGGATAACAAATCTTTACCGGAGACTAAGGTAAATACTCAATCTAATCTAACGCCTAATGACCGCACCTTGGAAATTCTTATCAGAAATGAATCAGATATAGATTCTATCATTCTTCTATTGCAACAAAAGTTCAAAAAAATCCCGAAACAAATGTTAGATAAATGGCGAGATAATATTACCTTTGAAATGCGAGATACTGGAAAGATGAACGTGAAAATATGAGTGAAGTAAATTTCTTAGAACATAAGCGAAATTTCGAAGCTGGGATAGGAGTACCTACTACTCCACATAAAAAAGATTTAAAAAACCGGTATTTAGTAAATATTGAATATGCATAACCCTATTTATTCGCAAGTCTCATGTCCAGATTATTACAGTATTAAAGTTAACTTTTTTCTTAGATAATAGCACAACATGTCATGACCCTCTTTATTTTATAAAAATCGCATAAAAATAAAAGATTAGGAGCCCAGCGGACCCCTTCTTTATTTACAGCTGTTCTCATAAATTTTGGGACATCTGGTAAAAAATTGACCGAATGATTTTAGGCCGATTCGATAAGTT